TTTAACTTTATGTTCATCTGCAGCTTCTTCATAATTGATGACGGCATGCTGTTTGTCTACACTTCGAGACTGCAATAAAGAGAAGTGAATGGATTATGGGAATAAACAATATGCTATAGATTGGTGGATGTTGGGTTCTAAGTGAAGGTGGGCTGGAGGAAATTATCTTGAATTCTGTGAAATATTCTGGATGGCACTCCACACACATAGAGTACAAAATATGGCCAGAAACTCTTTTTTCAGCATATGGAGAGTAAATGAGTTAATAATATTTTGAAATGTTCTTTAAAATTAGCTTTTTATACATTCTAGCATTAAAGAACATCAAAAATAAATAAAATGTCTAAAATGCAGGGTACAATACAATACATTCCTAAAAAAAAATATTTTGGTAACAAGGTTGATTGGGTGAGTATGACAGACATTTGACAGACATTTAATTAGTTTGCCTACTTTTCACGGTATGTTAACGTTTATGTTAGATAATCTAACATATCTAAAAGCTCTCAACACACTAATGGATCCAGGGAGAGTTGACTGTACACTTGAAGGGACAATGACGTTCTCCTGCTTGTGTATCAGAGTAACGGTGATTGAGTTACCTGTAGCATAAGCTCACAGTCATCGCGTCCCACGAAGATCATTTCCCGGGGAAGGCGGTGCCTTGTTCCCCCACTACTCACTAAAAACCAGGATGTCAAACTCATCTTGACTTAAGCAGGCCTCCTCTTTTCTTCCTGATCTCTCTCTAGGTCATTCTGTTGTAAGGTCAGTGAAGAGCTGTTGCAAACAATGACTGATAAATAAATTAGACAAGCTCAACTTGTATTAGGTAAATAGAGGAAATAAAATAATGTTTCTACTGTATAGTAAAAGACACACTATCAACAAACAAATACATACTGATAGGAGCCTAGTCTTGACAATATGACAATGAAGCTATACAGCTTGACATGAGCAATACTTTCCACTTTCCATAATATAAGTTTGTATTATTTCAAGTGCAGTCCATGTGGCTAAATACCCGGTGGAAGCGAATTCCTCAATTCCTAATGAAATTGGATAATTTATTGCTCAGCACCAGACAAGCAGCTGACTCCTCTAACTTTATCAATGGACCTTTTTTCCCTCTAAAAAGAATGAAGTGAGGGTCTTTTCTTTAAGACTTAACTAGTGATGCTGAACTAGACCTATTTCAACAACAAAGTGCCTAACAACACGCAGACAGTAACAGGAAATTGTCAATGGCTTCTCTTGAGGGGTGTCGATTTACCAAGCCAAATTCACATCGATCTGTATGATGTTTGTATGTTTTTTGTACAGAATACCAAAAAGTAAAAAAAAAAAAATTATCGCACATTTATTTTACTTGGAAAATATCACATTCATGTGAAGAAATGGGCTAAAGCTAAGCCAAATGTGAACATTTTACAAAAGAAATTAAACAATATGGCACTACTTATTAAATATAGACAATATTAAATGCAAAAATTTTCATTTTTGTTGTGAGTTGTAAATATAAAATTTTTGTACATTTTCTGTAATAAAAAAAACATTACCAAGCCAATTTCACTGTGACACAAGCATCAGAAAATCTTTGGTAAATCCTTTTTCTGTCAAGGGAGATTACCATATACCACCCTGAGAATAATTTTCACAAACAATATTTAAATGTAGGGTAGGCAGTTTCAGAGAGGCTAGCTAGCAATAGCAAGTTAGCTTTGAAAGCATGAGATCCCACCCTCCCTTCAGTGTGTCTCCAATTGGACTGATTCTTTTGACATTTCTCATCTCGAGTCAGCAATGATTCACAAGCCACTTAATCAGCATACTCAAATGTGTCCGACACTCCAACTCAAAATTAAATAAAATGATCCTAAAACCCACTTACAACAGATCTGTACTTGCAACAGAATATGAATTCAACTTCCTGTTGGATTCAGTTCACATTCCAATTCATGATATGAAAGGGAGCCAGTTCAATTCTGAATTATAACCAACCCTGGGACAGTGGAAAGTGATATGACTTAAGATAGCAATCTACAAGAGACAAGATGAATAAGAGATCCTGTCAAGAACATGGTGCACCAGAAAATAGACCAATTAAATATACATTTCATGCCAGTTAAATCCGTCTGTCTGGTTCCACTTTCATTTCTGTAAAGCATTAAAAAAAAAAAGATCAAATTTCTATAATGTGATAAAAAGAAGCTTAATTATCATTAAGAATCAAACACTTCATACGCGTAATTTAAGGGAATTGTAGCGTGTTTTTATAGATTTTGAGCTGAAATGTTAAGGTTAAATCACCTCATCATCCTCATCCACAGAAGCACCGCATCATTTGCCTCTCAGTCTCCGCCTCTGCCTTCAAGCATTGGCCTTGTTCTGTACCGGCAATGCCAGATCTGATGTTTATTCTAAGAGACAGTCGCTCACTACATACACCCAGCGCATATTTTAATACATGGTTCTTGAATACGTAACGTTGCGCATTTATTTCTACTAGATATAACACTCACGAGGAGAAGTAGCGTACAAATCGACGCATGCATAGGCCTAAAAATTTTTTTAATAAGACTGCTACTGTTTTCTTCACGTATCGGACGCCGTTAGAGACCTCCAGTCTGTGTAATAGGCCGGATCGGTCGCCTCTGGAGCTCATGACAGCCAATTACTCCTTTCCATCAAGCGAAATATTTGCTTTTAAAATTAAAATAGGATATGTTCATGGAAAATGGGATTATTATATAAAACACAGCGCAACGCTTACCTTGTAAATCCCAATATATTTATTCCATAAATGACATCCGTCTGCTCTAGTGCGCGGAGAAGCGCTGCTCTGCCCATCCCAGTCTGAGGTGCAGTTGCGCGTCTTGACGCACGATGGCGCTGCGGTGTCAAGAAACAACAAGATGACAAGCGCTCCCTATGGTCAGAGTACATGATTTTTTAACTTATGTTTGTGCTTACTTGTGCATATGCGCTTGCCAATATTCAGACATGAGAAATGAATTATGGACGGAAATATAAGCAACTTTTTATTTAAAAAAAACTTCCCAATATATAACAAACAAGCTATGGAGAGTTGAATAAAAAAAGGTCTGTAAACGCAACCTAATCTGTAAAAAATATAAGATTATTGGTATTTTTCTTTGGTTTAAAGCTTTAAATATGTATTAAAGGTTTATTCTGATTCCTGTCAACTATTCGCCACAGATAAAATAGACAAGAAATGAATTGCCTACTGTTTGTTTAGCCACTGAACACTAGATGGCGAAATTGTACATGACAGTCGGGATGATTCTCCCACAACATGATCTGTCAATAACTTAGACCAGTGAGTGTGCGTGCGTGCGTGCGCGCGTGTGTGTGTGTGTGTGTGTTTGGCATAAAATGGATAAAAAATGACATTCATTTTAATTCAATGGATTTGAACTATGTGATTTTTGTAAATTTCATATGATATTTGAGGTTGATTTATTTGCTATAATATTTTGTCCTAAACTGATGATTCACTGTTGACATACTGTGTATAAACTCACTTAATAATGTTGGGTTAAAAATAATGGGGTGGTATAGCACCTTTCCAACTGTGAGTTAATTTTCGTTTTTATTTATGACATTATTTGAATAAATACAGATTATTTATTTGTAGAAATTACCCAACGATTTTCAAAATGAACCAATATTTTTGGAAAAACAACCCAATATGTGTAGCCCTTTACTGTATAATATAGGCCCATACTCTAACAATTAGAAACTCTAAAAAAGCCATTGGGTTATATTTTTAAATGAAAATTTTAACCCAACGGCTGGGTTTGTCCATATTTGACCCATATTTGGGTTAAAAAGACCCTGACTTGGCCTCTTACAGTATGTGCTGTAGAGGAAAATTTTAATCTTACAGTGATCAGTAGTTAATGTGACTAGATGGATTTTGAGCCATGTGGCTCCTGATGATTTTGATGACATAAACTAAAATGTCTGTGTACGTGCTTGGGGTGATGCTCAGGAGCAGATGGGAGGAGACCTTTTGACCTTAGGGACTGGTCAGTGTTGACCAGTGCATTTCTGTATTAGGTTAAGGCCTGAGAGGGACTGAGGCGCCCTGAGAGGCGCCTGGAAGTTGCAGTCATGCCCTTAAAAGACATAACAGCCCATATCATAGTGTAAACTTAGAAGGAAAGGTCCTTGAAAAGGCTATAAGAACCCCCCTTCTGCTCATGCATCTGTGTCACTCCTCACACAGATTGAACTTTGAGTGTTTGGGACTGTATTCCTGCAGGAATAAAATACTTCTTTTATTGAATTTGACTCTGAATGACTCTTACTCAGGTGATATTGACTGGTATTGAATTTTGCCATAACAGTGCCTATATGTGAAGAGTAAATGAAAAGCAGCCAACAAGTGTCCAGCATATGTGGGAACTTCTTCAAGACAGGATACACCGCAGGACGTTGATTGAGATAATAGAGTTTGCAAAACAGAGCGAAAAGATTTCATTTGTCTAGGAATATGGTTAAACAAAAATATGAACAGAAAAATGAGATGTGCTTAAATTACTCACATAAACACCTGTGATGTAGCAGGCTATTATTAATTCAAATGTGTACTGTTTATTATTATTTCATTATGCTATAAATGAAAAAAAAAATGTAGGCATTTTATTTGAAGAAAACCTTTGAATAAAGAAAGGGTCATTTTGACCCCCTTTTAATGCATTTTTTTCTGGTTCTCTCTCTCTCTCTCTCTCTCTCTCTCTCTCTCTCTCTCTCTCTCTCTCTCTCTCTCTCTCTCTCTCTCTCTCTCTCTCTCTCGCTCTCGCTCTCGCTCTCTCTCTCTCTCTGCCTATTGGCTGTTAGGGTCTATGGTTGACATGCAGCCCATCATTGGTTTTTACGAGTCTCACCCCTCCCATTCTCTCTCTCTCTCTCTCTCTCTCTCTCTCTCTCTCTCTCTCTCTCTCTCTCTCTCTCTCTCTCTCTCTCTCTCTCTCTCTCTCTCTCTCTCTCTCTCTCTCTCTCTCTCCTGTGTTTAGCAGATCCATGTCCATCATCTACCTCTGGACGGTCAAGTTCGCTGGCACGTCACGTCCGCACTTGAACTTGCAGCAGCTCAGGGGGCTTCGCTTACTTTTCCATTCCCGTCTTGTGTTCTCCTCCGAGAAGCCATGAAGCCCAACGCAAGCGTCTTGCCACTACACGCGTCTCTTCTGTACTATTCTCTATAGTTCATGTGGGATACCCGATGCATCGCTGAAGAAGATTTTTACCCTGGACTCTCTAAAGACTCTGGCTCTTCCCAATGTGATCCCAGCTGAGACCGTGTCCAACATGTCTCGCCGCAAGCAGGGCAAACCCCAGCACTTAAGCAAACGGGAGTTTTCGCGTAAGTTTTTCTATCTTTAAAGCTCAAATACTTAAATCAGTTTTAAACGGAGTTCCCGAAGACGCGTCTCGGAACGAAGCGCGTTTGATGTTGAGTTGCGCTTTGCTATGATTCTTAACGCGTGAAGGTTGATGCATTTATGTGCATATATCCTTTGTAGCCTACGTGTGTATATGAATGCATGAAAGTAAATTAGACGTGATTTGTTAGCTTTTTAATAATTAAAAAAAAAATCAGTTAGGAAAATTCACCTCTGAGTTCACATTCCCATGGGATCTTTTAAAAGCCCAAACTGGTTTTTACTTATTTTAGACTTTAAATTAATACATTGTGATGTGAAGCCAATTATAAACGTATTATAGATGCCATCTAATCTTTGTTTACAAAAATTAAACCAGATATCTACATTTCAGAAAGTGTTTTTCCCCCTCAACTTCCTCCTTCGGTTCTTGAAAGGCACTTTTCAAGAATTGAAACGGGAATCTAACGAAGGTTTTTTTTTTTTTTTATTCAGGGAAAGAAAGTTATATACAAATCTGGTTTAATGCATGTCAAACCTGTTAAAACCCCCGTCGAGGCGATCAAAGCACCTCAAGTGTTGCGTGTCAAAACCTTAAAAACACAAAGGCCATTATAAATGATAAAATCTGGATGAAAGTGAAAGTATACCCTTGTTCTAGTTGGTTTTGGTTTTAGCCTACCTGTATTTAATGTGCGTTTGAACGTGTTTTCGGATACGGCATCTTGTGAAACGAGTTGCCGCTAGGGGGCAGAAAATGAACAAATGAGGGTCCATTCCATTCAAGATGAGACAGTAGGTGAACTTGAACTTGGTCTTAGCCTTCTCTCGGTTAAGTGTACCCACACATCTCCTGTTCTATACACATATACAGTGTTTTTTTATATAAAGTACATGTGGGCCAATGACAAAATATGTCCAAAACGATAAAAAGGAAATCTGTTAAAGATCTAGTTTAAAACTCATGTGCCATGGATATATATTTTTATTCATTATGATTTGGTAAATAAAATAAAAAATGTATATTCCCATAAATTAATTCCCAATGCTATAAAAAGCTATGCGAGTGTGCACCTTGAATACTCAAGGGTATAATTTTTGAGTAATTTAATCTATCCCCCCAAAAAAACCCGCTTATGTCTTAGTCATTGCGTTTATCATGTATACAATGTATGCAATAATAAATAAGCTGAAATATTACCAAAGGATGGGGAATGGTTTAAAAGTGTTTATAGTATTGTGTTGTTTGGAAACTCTCCTGATGTTTCACAAAGAGGTTTGAATTACACCTGTTTGTGCAACGCATGATCCGATCTGAGGTTTTGAGGATCTTGAGCGTGCCTTGGAAGAAAACAAAAGCCATAAAAGAGGATCGATTAAAATATTGAAGCATGTTTTTTTTTAGTCTTCGTCAGAAACTCATATATTGTCGCCCCCACCTTTTGTCCCACGTGACCTGACACAGAATTAGGGTTAACCTACCACCGATGGCAACAATCTCTCTCAGCCCAGTTCAGACGCATGATGTGGTTTTGATTGGTCTTTCATATGTTCTGGCTGTCCTTCTGGGAACTACCCCACATACTCCCCTCAATAGCTAACCTCAGTTCAGAGGATTCCAGCACTTTTAACTAAATGGGTTCCAATCATCTTGCAGTCAAATTAGAATCTATTTTTTGATTCTCTGAGGTGTTGGGTTCATTAAGACGTGAGATTGGCAGGATAATGAACAGGGTCATGCAACTAAAGTGAACAACCCCCTCCTCTTTACCATTACTGGGCAACCACTGTTTTTCTCTCTGTCTTTGGTTTCTCATCTTCTCTGCATCTGTCTTCCGTTGACTGTCAGTATTCCTCTGATAGAAGTGTCAGCATTTCAATAGTGGATAGATATTAATGTCTCCTGGCGCAAATGCAATGCCGTTGCACTGTAGCATTGGAAAACTTCACAAATTTGAATATCATTGTGCCTAAATCAGCATTTATTTATTCTACATCTCTATGACACCTGAATGCATGTGACATGTAACACCTCTAACACTACTGCAGATTTCAACACCTCTTCCATTTATATGGAAATTAACATAATTATCACTTACGGCACATATATAATTAGTCATTATCAGCTTTGCGCTATGGATATCACAGGAAGTTATTCCGCCATATCTCACACCTCCCTTTCTGCGTTTCTCCTACCGTAGCCGAGCCCGTGACGGCAGATATCCCAGAGGACGGGGAAAGCCATCCCAGATCGGAACCATCCACCCCTAAAGGGGATCAGGACCTCCTCACCTGTGGTCAGTGCCGCTCCAGGTTTCCTTTGGCTGACATCCTGGAGTTCATCGAGCACAAACGCAGGCAGTGTCAAGGACGCCTATGCATGGACAAATGTTCAGACCTGCCACCGTCGCCTCCACCCGCAGGCCTGAGGCGAGCCTGCGTCCCTGTGGAGGTGGCAGTTCAAGTTTCGCCCCACGGAGAGGAGCATTTAGCCTCCACACCGCACGGATTACGGCCCAAGCAGGAGAATTTAACAGGTAGAGTAACAGATGTTAGCGTTGAAGCGAATCTATGAGAGCGTTTGCCAAGTCGAAACCTTGATGAATACCATGTCTCTAATAGCCCACTTTCCGTTTATGATTGGTCCTTTTATTTTTAAGAAAAAAGGAACTTGACTGTGTAGTGGATGAATTTAATGTCCTTGCTGTCAGTATGAATGGACATTCTCTCAGTTCTCTCATGTGGCTTTCGCAGATGTTGCTGTGTTTAGTGTGGTTTTTATAAGGTCATATCCTACTCCAGTAAATGTATAGCTCCAGAGTGGTACATTCATACTGATCAAAAAAAAAAGAAAAAGAAAATCATTTTCAGCTGCCTGAAACAAGATCTGCCACAGGTTGTTACTGATTCTGATTCTGTTACTGATTTGTCATTTTCATGATTATGAGAGAGCGTTTCTCTTTGTGTTATCCGGTATCCGGAAAGAGGAAAAACATGCAGCATATATCTTGATATTACACTCACCGGCCACTTTATTAGGTACCCCATGCTAGTAACGGGTTGGACCCCCTTTCGCCTTCAGAACTGCCTCAATTCTTCGTGGCATAGATTCAACAAGGTGCTGGAAGCATTCCTCAGGGAGTTTGGTCCATATTGACATGATGGCATCACACAGTTGCCGCAGATTTGTCGGCTGCACATCCATGATGCGAATCTCCCGTTCCACCACATCCCAAAGATGCTCTATTGGGTTGAGATCTGGTGACTGTGGAGGCCATTTTAGTACAGTGAACTCATTGTCATGTTCAAGAAACCAATTTGAAATGATTAGAGCTTTGTGAAATGGTGGAAGTAGCCATCAGAGGATGGGTACATGGTGGCCATAAAGGGATGGACATGGTCAGAAACAATGCTCAGGTAGGCCGTGGCATTTAAACGATGCCCAATTGGCACTAAGGGGCCTAAAGTGTGCCAGGAAAACATCCCCCACACCATTACACCACCACCACCAGCCTGCACAGTGGTAACAAGGCATGATGGTTCCATGTTCTCATTCTGTTTACGCCAAATTCTGACTCTAACATCTGAATGTCTCAACAGAAATCGAGACTCATCAGACCAGGCAACATTTTTCCAGTCTTCAACTGTTCAATTTTGGTGAGCTCTTGCAAATTGTAGCCTCTTTTTCCTATTTGTAGTGGAGATGAGTGGTACCCGGTGGAGTCTTCTGCTGTTGTAGCCCATCCGCCTCAAGGTTGTGCGTGTTGTGGCTTCACAAATGCTTTGCTGCATACCTCGGTTGTAACGAGTGGTTATTTCAGTCACTGTTGCCCTTCTATCAGCTCGAACCAGTCTGGCCATTCTCCTCTGACCTCTGGCATCAACAAGGCATTTCCGCCCACAGAACTGCCGCTCACTGGATGTTTTTTCTTTTTCGGACCATTCTCTGTAAACCCTAGAGATGGTTGTGCGTGAAAATCCCAGTAGATTAGCAGTTTCTGAAATACTCAGACCAGCCCTTCTGGCACCAACAATCATGCCACGTTCAAAGTCACTCAAATCAACTTTCTTCCCCATACTGATGCTCGGTTTGAACTGCAGGAGATTGTCTTGACCATGTCTACATGCCTAAATGCACTGAGTTGCCGCCATGTGATTGGCTGCTTAGAAATTAAGTGTTAACGAGCAGTTGGACAGGTGTACCTAATAAAGTGGCCGGTGAGTGTATGTTGCAATTATACATTTAAAGGGAGAGTTGACCCAAAAATGAAAATTCTGTCATCATTCACTCCCCCTCATGTCGTTCCAAACCTGTAAGACTTTCTTTCCTCTCCGGAACACAAATGAAGATATTTTTGATGAAATCTGAGAGTTTTCTGTCCCTCCATTGACAGCTACGCAACTACCACTTTGACGCTTCAAAAAGTTCATAAAGAGATCGTAAAACGAATCCATATCAATTGAGCGGTTTAGTCCAAATTTTCTGAAGAGACTGGATCGCTTTATATGATGAACAGATTAAATTTAGGCTTTTATTCACACATAAACATTCATCAACTCACACATCAGTTGTGGTAAACGGAAGCTCAAGCATGTTCGCTCATAGCGAGAACCAATGAGGTTCATTCTCATGTTACGCAGCACGTTTGAGCTTCTGCGAGAACCAATGAGGTTCATTCTCGTGTTACGCAGCACGTTTGAGCTTCAGCGAGAACCAATGAGGTTCATTCTCATGTTACGCAGCACGTTTGAGCTTCCGCAAGAACCAATGAGGTTCAATCTCGTGTTACGCAGCACGTTTGAGCTTCAGCGAGAACCAATGAGGTTCATTCTCGTGTTACGCAGCGCGTTTGAGCTTCTGCAAGAACCAATGAGGTTCATTCTCGTGTTACGCAGCACGTTTGAGCTTCAGCGAGAACCAATGAGGTTCATTCTCGTGTTACGCAGCGCGTTTGAGCTTCAGCCAGAACCAATGAGGTTCATTCTCGTGTTACGCAGCGCGTTTGAGCTTCACCGAGAACCAATGAGGTTCAAGCAGGTTCGGTTGAGCTTCTGTTTATGTTCGCTGATCAATGTTTATATGTGAATAAAAGTCTCATGCGATCAAGTCTCTTCAGAAAATTTGGACTAAACCACTCAATTCATATGGATTAGTTTTACGATCTCTTTATGAACTTTTTGAAGTGTCAAAGTTGCTTAGCTGTCAATGAAGATTTCATCAAAAAGATCTTTATTTGTGTTTCGAAGGAACGACATGAGGGTGAGTAAATGATAACAGAGTTTACTTTTTTGGGTGAACTATCCCTATAAAGTACACAAATTACGAATGCAAATACATTTTTTAGGGCTTCCACTTTAAAATTGAATGCTGTTACCAGCTAGGCTTGAGGCAGACAAACTTTTCTGTTTGAGTTATGAGTATATTAAAAGTGACGTCACATTGGGGTGAGGTTTATTAAAACCACCCATCTTTCTACATTTGATAGTATCAGAAAGTTTTTCACAATGTCCTTGTTACATGTTACATACACTAGTAATAACAGTAAATTATATAATTAATTACATGCAACTAACCCTAAAGCAAACCCTATAGTAAGAGCATGTTAAATAATATTACTGTTACATACTTAATTAACACTAACAAGGACAACCTAAAAAAAAGAAAAGTGTAGGACGTCCAGTGTTTACCCATCCCGGTCCAGACAGGTCACACGCTTTCGCCGTTACATGTAAAGCACATGCGTGATCCGTCGCGTCGTGCAAGCAGATGTCCGTCACAACAGATGGAATTCTGTATCGGCTGTAAATGGTGAATCCGTTAAAGGTTCACGCTTGGAGAAATTTGCATGATAAATAATTTAAGATATGCATGTAGACACAGCAGCTTTTAATACCCCCCTAACAACACCCCATCACACCCCCATTTTATTCAAGTCTGAATGCCCCCGAGCGGCCAGACGATGAGTTCAGGCAATAACCCCTTTCTGCAGACCTCCCTCCCCCAGCCCCTTATCTGCTATCTCTCTGGGGTTATTTTCTTAAGTACATCCATGTGAAGCCATTTTCTCTGAGGCTGATATAGGGGATCCCATCTCATACCGTTGTTTAATAAGCGCTGTAGCGTCTCCTGGTCCCCACAGGCTCTAGAAGTGGCTGTCCATTATGTAAACACAAGGAGAAGAACTTTGATGTTGAGTTAACTACAATATGGTATTGTGCAGATCATATTTGCATTGCACGTTAACTGTGCGTAACTAATAATTTGTGATGAAATGGACTTATTCTGTTATGTTATCCGGTGTCTGCTGGTGTTCTTGGCCTTGGTGTCTTGATGTTTTTGGCACTGATCCACTATTCTCTTACCGGGGAGAGTTATGGATCATTAGCTGGAACAGAGCAAGTGGAACGGGAGACAGGAAGTTTGGGGATCCCCCAATTGTGCACCATCACTGAGGACCTTTACAGGCTTCTCACAAAAGACAAATCTTTTTAAAATCTTTTTTATCTTCTCCCAGACTGCAAAGAGAATAAATGGAGAGGGTATAAAACTTTTACTGAAGTCTTCTTCTTTTCTCCAGCATGAGAAAATGACCCTAGTAATCTCACTCTTGCCTTCATTACTGTTTCAGACAAGATCTCGACAATGTCTCAAATTGTACTCTAATTTAGTAGTGATTTCAATATGAACTCAAACATTTCTTATCAAATGTTCCATGATCAAATTATTTGAGTGGGTATCCACATTAACGTTTCATACCCGTGTACTCTTGAGCAAAAGAGTAGTTTGATGCTATACACAGAGGAAAGGTGATGTTTCTTATATTTATGTGGAAGAAAAAGTGTCTGATCTGAGCAAAAGTGTGTTTGTGTGTGGTTTGCTGAGTCTGTCTCGACGCAACATGACAGCGTGTTTGACTTGGCAAACGCTGCCAAGGGTTCCCTTTCAGTGGGCATATGGCAGGACATTGGCACAGAGCAGACGGGAACGTGTATTGTGGTGAAGTTTATTTATTTGTAGCTGACATGGCATTTCAAGCACTAACAGCAGTGTCCTGCAGTGTGACATGCATACTATTTTGTGTTATTATTATTTTGAATGCAGGTTTACGACCTCATTAGAGGGACTGCATGCATATTAGTACTTTTTTTTTCAAAAAATATGTCACAACAACACGACTATTTAACCCTCGAATGGCAGTCAAAAATGGCCAAAGTTTTATTTTTTATTTAAATGAAATGAATCGATAATATTTTCATTTTTTTTATTTCATGTTTAGCATTTTTAGAGGATTACATGGTATTCAAATATATTTATGCAGTAGTTATAATCCATTTGTTCACTTTTTGAGCTTGCAACTGAAATTTCCAGCTTAAACTGGCATAGATCTCGAATGCTTTGGAGCACAGACTTAATTTTGGTCTTTTTAAAGGAGACACTTGGCAGATTATTGCTGAAGTGAAAAAAAGATCAAAAGTGAACGAAAAAAAAAGTGATAAAAGTTTATTGTTATGAAAAATGCACAAAACATGCACAAAA